CTACTGAGATTCGAAGAAGATCAACATGACGACAGCTAATTTTTAAAACTATTAAAATTGTGTGAGTCCCTCAACAAGATAATTTTTAATAGAAACTAAGTTGTAGTTGCCAATCCTTCACTACTCAGAGTTGGTGCCTATCAACTCTTTGATTCACTACAATGATCACAATTTAAACTCCATTTCTTCAAATTAATATAACTTACATCATAACATTCTGTAACACTTTATAAGCTTCCAACCCATATTGCTTTACCAACTGATTTTAAAAAGGAAATTCTAAATGAAATGAGTTGTTGATCATGAGATTTTAAATCCAGATATATAAAAAGTTCTTGACATGTGGCAATTAATGAATATGAGCTAATAGTACTAAATAAATTTAAATAAAGCTCTGACATTCATTAAAATTTTCTGTCTAAAGATAAGGTATAGAAGAAAAAAGAAGAGATTTGAGTCCCTTAATCTGCAGTGAAATAATTAGATACAAAATTTTGAAATTACAGATATGGTATTTGTTGTCTTTTATCCATTTGATATTTACCAATTGCAGTGTTTTTTATGTCTGGTATCAGCTTGCTTGGGTTAAACTGGTTAAGTTTTATATGTATTCTGCCTTATACACAAATATCCAAAGAAAAGAATCATGGTTGTATGTAGAATTGTCTGGGGCACTTTAAAAATCAGCAGGAGTTGTGGGCTCCATTCTGGAACAAAAAGTCAGAATCTGGGGAGTGGGGCGCAGGCAGTGATATTATTTAAAAGCTCTTTCAATAACTCTCATGTGCAGGTCAGGGGTGAGAACTACTGATTTAGGCAATTGTGAAAATCTGAAAGCCCTAGACAGGAGACCAACCTCAGCATCGATGAATTGGGGCCTCGGAAACCCGTAGGAAGCAGGCAATTATTTGAGGGAGCCTTACCCTTGGACATAAGTTCTCTTCATTGTCTGAGAGGAAAATACAGGACCAATAGGGAGAAAAGGACAAGAACGGTACAAGCTGAGAAGGCACAGTGTTCCTGGAAATGAGCTCAGGGTTCAGAGATACCCAGCTTTACAGGGAAGCAGGGTTAGTAACAGCGAAACCAAGAATTGTCTGTTGTAGTGCTTAAGACAGAGCTTCCTATTTCAGTGGGAAGAATTATTGCTACTCTGGGGACTCATGAACACAAGTCCATCTGTGATCAATGCCATTCAGTTCCAAGTTCCACTGGATTTGGGGCTGATACTGCTGGTATACCTTATTTATTAGCTCTACAGTGGTTGTTTTTTAAACCATAATGTTTTTGAAATTGTAATGCATTTTATGATCAATGAGTATTCTAACGTAGTGTTCTTTTTTGTTATTAGTAGATTGATGGTCTGTCCTAAAATTTATGACATCTTACATTCATGGAAACATGGTGTTTCCAGTGTTCTCCAGACCAGTTCAGGAACTGGGCCTGTGGGTGAGATCCGGCATTAGAGTTAGCTGTGAGGACTTAGGCACATTGGAAGGAAAAGGAGACCAGAACTGAAATTAGAGATCATAATACAATCAAGATATTGAAGAAGACTTCTTCTAGTTCTCAAAAGCTCATGCTATCTTATGAGAGAGAGGCTAAAAACAATGTTGTTTTTTGAGAACATTGTCCAGCAAATACAAAGTGGTTGGTTCATAAGACCGCCTTGCCAACTGCTCACGCCCTCTGTTGGTGGTAGGCAGAGTGGATAAGTCTCTGCCCTAGCACAGAGTTTTCCTTCTATCTTTCAAAGTCTGTAAGTTGGAAGGCAGAAAGTTCTGTGGAACACATTATATGCTCTAAAAATTTAGGGGATCGAGACTGAAAAGGACTAGGGAAGGATTAACAAGTTGGAGTTGGGGCTTAATGAATTTCAGTAGGTAAAGAGAGGGCTTTTCAAGGGCTAATAAATGTGAAAACTCTTGGGGAGGAAAAGAGCAAGGTGCATTCCTGGCATAGTGCCTTGTCTGGAACATTTCCTGATTCAGCCCTGGAAGTCCGTATTTGGTTAATCCAGGGTTAATTTGCAAAGGTAAGAATCTATTTGCAAATGGTTGACATGTCACCATATACTTCTCTCCTCTTTTTCCTTCTGAGACAGAATTGGAGACTAAGCCTCGCCGAGAATTTTCTAACAGAGCTGGAGCTTCATGCCAACATATCTTAACCATAGAGGCTCATTTCTCATCTTGCAAACCTTGTGCCGGAAAAGAACTCCCACTGGCTTGGGAGCAGTCCTGGCACAAACAGACCCCTGAGGGCATAGAGCAGGATGAGCAGAGGGTGAACTGTGCACATTTCCCAATGCTGGACAGGGTGGAGGGGAGGCTCTGGTGCTGTTCTCCCCAGGGGAAAGAATCCCACACTGAGTGTAATCTCCAGGCATGTCGAGTAATGGGGCAAAATTAAATTGGACTCTCCTTCTATCTTAAATCTAATTAATCTTCCTCTGCCATGTACTTACTCCGCTAAAATATGGCATTAAAATTCCACCACTTTAGTTTGCACTTTCCAGCAGCTTTCTATAAGCAGCAGTAATCTGATCTACTAGTTCATGAAGTCCTAATATGGAATGACTTAGAAAAGTGAAAGGATTGGTCCTCAGCAAAAGAGTAACAAGACATCAACTGAGGAGTTTTAGATGCCAATACTAGAGAAGTAGTGTCCAGGGATGGAATTATTATTATAATAATAATAATTATTATTATTATTATTACTTGATTTGTTGCACTGAGACTAAGAAATTGTCTACTGTGTTACTCGTTAGTGGAATTACATGCTCCATGCACACACTTACATATTCTTGGGAATGATTTGTAGACATAGCATTGCTTAAACCAGTCTATAACTGTCAGCAATTCATATTTAATTCTGAATTTGTTCTGGTTTTTGTTTTTCACACATTTAGGTGTCAGATGTGCTGTTGTTTTGGGAAAAAACGTTTGCTTCAAAATCAAAATCAATCCCATCACTAATTCCAATATATCTTATAGCTTCAGGGTGGGAGTACACAGGGTTGAGTTAGTTGAACAAGGGTATGTTTTAATACTTCTTTAAAACCAAGTTTCCATTAGAATCTTCTCCTCCCCCTCAAGTGAGGAAATCCCAGACAAAACGTCTCTTGTATTTACTCGTTTTGTCCATGCCAGAACTACAAAAGGAGAAACCGTGTTCTGGCAACAGTTGTCCTGAGAGAGAGAAATTGCAAAATAAGCTAGCATGTTGAAACATTTAGAAATATACCACAAATATTTATGTATTATAGGTTGTTTATATGTGCATATACACATATGTGTTTAGATTATAATGATAGCATAAAAGCCAAGATTCCTAATATTATAAAACTCAGATTTATCACCAACTGTAGTTTTGCGACATTGACTAGAAAAAAAAGGACTAGAAATAATCATCCCTTTAACTTTAGATTGCACAATTTTATAATTTATATACATTCTATCTGATCAACTTAATAAGGTGGAGAATATGAGCAGGTCATGTGCAGGCTTTTCTTTTCCTCATGAAGGCCAGGTGTATGAGAGTGTATGCAGGTGTGAGCTTCTAAAGGATTTTGTACAGAAATAATTGCAACAAGATGACCAGTGATGTCTACGTTTTGAAAGGACAGGAAATTATTTTATGTTTCTTTATATTCCTTATACTATTTATTTCATTTCTTTGATTGTTAAATATCTATAAAGTGACTGAAGAAAGGAATGTGTGAATGAAAAAAACATGTCTATATCAAACAACATGTATACATTTAAAACAGGGATCAGTCAGACAGTAAATATTTTAGGCTCTGCAGTTCATGGAGTCTCTGTTGCAACTATTCAACTTTGCCATTTTAGAGCAAAAACAGCTATAGACAATGTGTAAACAAATGGGTGTGGCTGTGTTTCAATAAAACTTTATTTACCAAAACAGTCTGTGGCCTGAATTTAGCCAATGAGCCATAGTTTGCCAATCGCTGATCTAAAACATCAAACACAATCCTTTATTCTCAAAACAACTGATTAACTTACAGGTATTTTGATGATTTTAAGACTCCATTAGAGGGTCAGTTCAGAGGAAACTCTACTTGTCTAAACCTTTCTACATACATGGTGTAGAGGACCAGCCAGATTTTTGCACTTTCTCTCCTCCCTGTCACTAAATTCCTATTGGCCTCACTGTATTTTATGTGCTGTCCCCATTTCCAGGCTAAATGAGGGGAATAGGGTAGATGGCACAAGAGGACATTGAATGTGACTGCTGGCAGCCCAAATAGTCTCCCCGTTAGTCACTTTGGATTTCCAGCGGGGTGAATGCAGCATTCATTAATGCCCAGAGACGTCCCGGGCAAGGTCCAGACAGTCTGCTGGCAGAAAGAAAGCTAAAAGCAAAGGAAGGTCTGTGTCGATTGTCGTCTGTAGTTATGAGCCTGAGAAATAGTAGCTATGAATCAGCCTGTCTGAGGCTCAGCTGTCTTTATTTGCAACAGTAAGGAAGATAATATTTTAAAAAGCTTTAGGAATAAAATGAGTCTTAACCACTAGAGAGAAGAATCACAGTCTGCAGCTACATTGCCTCGGGGCCTAATGATGATTCACTGTAAAATTAGACCAATTAAGCACCCTCCTCCAATTCTGTAGTCTTGAGAGAGTTAGATAAGATCATTGGTTCCCTTTGACTCATGGAATCCTAAAATAAAAGGGATCTCAGAGATCTTCTGGTCGTGGGGTTATGGAATGTCAGAAGCATAAGACATCTCACTGGAGATCTGGTCAACCCCTTTATTTACAGATCAGGAAACTGAGTCCTATGAGGTAAGTGACGTTCAGTGATTCACAGCTAGTGGGTGGTAAAGGTAGAACTTGAACCAGCACTCTTGATTCTGGGTTGATAGACTGATTGATGCATTCATTAAGACAAGTATCATTCATTCAACCATGTAGCTTACACATTGTTTCTCGAAGTGTTTTTATCAAAGAACCCTTTTCGGTTTTTCACAAGGATCAGAGAAGACGAACATTCCCCAGAACCCACTCAGGAACTGCTGTGGTTATTACTTCACACCTTCAAGCCCTTTCAACTCCACCCACACATCCACTTTACAGGTGAGGAAAATGAAATCCAGAGTCTAGGTTGATGGCTCCTGAGTTTGTCTGCATATTAGAATGACTTAGGAATCTTTTAAAAATTCCAAAGCCTATGCTACATCCAGACCAACAAACCACAATCTCTGGGGGCAAGGCATAGACACCGTATTTTTTGAAGTTTCCCAGGTGATTTCAATGTGCAGACAAGTTTTGGGAACCACTGGACTAGGTGACTTCTTCTTATGTCATACCTCATGTAGAAAGACTCATCATCCACTGTGGGAAAAAATGATTTGGGGACATCAGAAGAAATGGAATAACATTTCTCAAAAGAGGGCCTTGCTTCATACACAGACACACACACACACACACACACACACACACATGCACATACATACTACAGAATAGTTCTGAAGAACAAATGAACCAATATAGGTGACAGTGCTCTAGGAAACCAAAGGAATCATATAATATAGTACTACTTCCTCTTAGGAGACACTCAAATTTCAATTAGCTGTGAATGTTTTATCTGTCTATTTGGAAGAATTATTCGGAAATTAGAGAATCAGTAAATTTTCCAAAGCACTTACGTTTTGAAAGAAGGTCTAAAATTATTTAATGCTTCTCCTGATATTTCTAATGTTACAGCTCTAGGATGACGTTTCGATGGGTGTCTATCTGTTATGGAGTCCTAACCTAGCAGCCACCTGCTCTGTTTTTCAGAAAGCTTTACTGTAGATGCTCGTCAAAGATGATGGCAGGAGTTTGGGTTCATTCATGCTTTATACAAAGTAATTTACTTGTGCTTGCTTGAAAACTAAAACCCAGAAACCATTTTTAGAAGAAATTGTGTTTATACTATATTTTAAAATTTAAAGTTATGTTTCACATGTATCCAATCAAAAAAGATGCAGGATATGTCATAACTCAGCTGCCCCCTTTAACTTGATGCTTTTGCGTACAAAGCTTGTTACTCTATTCCACTCAAATGCCACATATAATTTTTTCTTGATTTTTGTTTATCAAATCTTCCTCTACCAGACAAAGCTGGGCAGTACGTGACTTTGGATAATAAGCTAAGGTGGAAGATTATGATATACTATTAAATGTTTCAATTTGAATGAAATTCCAGATGCATTTTTCAGGTGGCTGTCTCTAGATTGCAGTTTTGGTGTCTTTCAGAATTTGCTCACTTTCTTCAGGTCAAGATGAGAGTTCTTTTGTCCTTGCTCGCCTGGCTCCTTTCAGCTACCACTACTTGCCCCTACACTTTTGCCTCTAGTTCATTTACTTGAGGCTCATCCTCTCATCCCCTGAGATCCTGGGTCCTTCCAGAAGTAAGGCAGAGAAGCAGGAGCCCCCTACCCCAGAATTGTTTGTCTAAAACCAATTAACTGTCTCAACACAGTCAAATGCATCCTTGTTCCCAGTGACATGAAGCTGAAGTTGCTTTGTGAGCACACAATTCTTCCTTAAATTGTATTTAACTGGGATGACTTAAAATGATTATGGGAGGAGCTAAGTGACCCCCCATCCCCAGCCACGCTTTGGTGTATTCTCTCCTATAGAAGTTTGGAACTTAAGGCAAAATAAAATCTTCTTCTAACTTCTCATTTTTATACTCATATTCAAAGATCTTGCTTTCTGTAGGAAATTGTTTTGTGGGATTTAAGAAAGAAGAGCCAAGAAATGCCTTCTCTGAAAACAGAAGGACTCAGTCAATAAAGGAATAGAGCCTTTGTAAAAAGAAAATCTCAAAGCATTGAAAATCTCTCGTATTGTCGTAGTGACAGACCTAACAAAATAAACAGACCATGATGTTCCATTGTGGTGGCAGAAATAACACTTGAAAATCCTGGGAAAGTGACCACGGGAAGAGCTCTCCCAAGGAGAGTCACTCAAATTAGGAAAGGATAGGAGGGGAGGGAAGATAGGTTGCCCATCAGGAGAAAGGAAAGAGGCTGACAACATCTCCACTCCTACTCAACAAGACCCATGATTTTCTTTTATGAGACTTGAGCCAGCATTTACTTTGATAAAACTTCCACTCTAACCAAAAGACCAGCCTTTTTTTATCTTCAGTTTTTTAAATGTGGGCAGCCTGACACCCAAGTCATCCACATAGCCACTGAGTATTTTCATCCTATGGCCAATAGATGTTGATCTTAGCAACTATATCTTCTCAGACAGTTCTACTTTTGAAGCACCATTCCTAAGCCCATGTTAAAAAAAAATGAACAGCCATAGTATATTTCTGTGGGTGAGAGTGGAAAAATAAAGGAAGGAGGGAGAGAGATTGAGATGCTCTGCACTAAAAGACAGAAATAAACAAAATAATTTTCAAGTAGTATTTCTACCAACACAATGGAGCGTCGCGGTCTGTTTCTTTTAACAGGTCTGTCACTCAGACAATAGAATACATCTTCAATGTTTTGGGAATTTCCTTTTATGAAGGCACTAGCTCTTCCTTTATTGAACCAGGCCTTTGGTTTTCAGAGGAAGCATTTCTTAGCTCTTCTTTCCTAAATCCCACAGATAGAAATTGAGGGCATACTAAGTGCCAAGCTCTGAAATGGGTGAAGATGAGCTCACGAGACTTGTGTCTACATATGAACAATTCAAACACCTCTGCTCTTTGTTTTTAAGGACATCCATACTCCTTGTTTTAGAAAATAATGTCAAGGTTTCTAAGACAGTTGCTTCCTTGTAAACATTTTGAGCCATTTTCTTTGGTCAATGTGAAAAATGCAACTGAGTGCATGAGGATTTTGGAATATCTCTTTGTAGCATCATTACCAAAATACTGCCTGAACATTCTGATTCATCACTCTCTCTGAGGGTGGTGGCACTTGTTTTCTGTTGTTTCTGTGTGTTTGTGTGTTCATACGTGTGTGTGTGTGTGTGTGTGTGTGTGTGTGTGTTTTCCTAGCTTATTTATCTAGGAGCTTTTTTTTTTTTTAATCATCTGGGCAGGAACATCATCTGTTATTAGAGATTCCAATAAAGTTAACAACGTAGGTACAGTAACCTCACTTCTTTTTGCAGAAGACACATACCATGCTATGTTTTCTAATACTTCTGGGTCATAGAACCATTCCTTGTTTTTTTATTTAATTTTCTACCTGGTGGGTCCAGATAGGGCAAGGAACCTCCCATGGTATGCATAATCATAACTGAAGTCCATATTTCTGCCCTTGACTCACGTTCAGCTTTTCCTCCACCTATAGTCTCCTTTCTCTCTTTTGCTGCAAGGAAACCTGTTGAAGCTCCTCTTATAAAATTTTATGGCACCTGAGAACTGACAATACTAGGAAGTTTGTCTAGCTCATTTTACTGTGGCCTTGATTAGTTTGAGAATCAGCTCCTGTGAACTTTCAAAAGAGATAGAGCAAAACCACTGGGTGAGTCTTTAAGGAGGACAGGATGATCTAACCCACATGTATCACTATCTGCCTTCATCATAGGTCCCCATGCACATGTAATTTGCAATATATGTCCCCGCATGATATGGGAAACAGCCATTAAAAATAATTTGGCTTCTTGCTGGAGTCTATGGATTTAAGTGATATGAGTGTGTTCGTTCATTTATGCAACAATTAATGATTGAGGGCCTGGGTACTAGGCACAGCAGACAAGGAGGGGCTCTACCTACAAACTGGCAAGACGCCCTAAGCCCAGGAGTCTGGGAAACAGTTCCACTATTTCTGGAGTCAGAGAGAGCTGAGTTCATATTCCCCAGTTCTGCCATTTAATTAATGTGGAACCGTAAGCAATGGACTTAAGTTCTATGGATCTCAATTTTCCCATTGAGAAAGGAAAGAAGAATCGTGCCTACCTCACAGGGATAAAGTGAAACTTAACTGACATACTGTATGTAGATGTATAAGATAGATGTAGATGTCTATAGACGACATACTATATGTTTAAAACAAGCCATGCGGTCAACAGAAGTTAATTCCTTTTCTCTTGGCATGGTTATTTGTCTTTTTATCCTCTAATGAATAGGAACCTCTTCTATATCCCTCCATTTGACCTTATTTTGGTCAATAACAGCCATATGGAGAGATTCAAGTCTCCTAGAAGCAAGACCCCTTGGCCTTCACTTGCCAAGACATTTCATTGCCTTAAAAGGAGCTCTGTGCTGCCTGAAAAGGAGAAAGGGATGCTGCTTCAGACCAGAGTGAATTTACTGCTCTCTGCTCCCTGTAATTTAAAGGGTTAATTCGCTTTCATGTTGCTCCCACTGAGAGCCACTGTTATTATGGGATGCAGGTTCCCACAAAAATAAAGAGAACTGCTTTTTTCAAAGCATAAACTGGCAAGACCATAGTTAATTTCCATGAGAGTCAAGGGAGCAAAACTCTGGGTAAGTCTTTGAAAATTCACTTGGGACACTTTATGTCCAAGAGACGGTGCTTAAAAGACAAGAATCCCATACCTTGAATTCACTTTCCCATGAAAGCCTGCAGAAGTTACTGCAGGAAACAAAAAGCAATTTACCTTTACCCTGACCAACCCTCCCCCACTGCTCCAACCTCCTCTCTCCCACTCCAGTCCGATACCTGAAAAGTCCTGGCACCGGGAGGTGACTTTCTTTAACTCTTTGCTGCTCTAAGCGTGGTCCATGGGCCAGTAGCTTTGGTCTCACCTGGGATCTTGTTAAAAATGCAGAGTCTTGGGCCGCACCCAGACATACTGAATTAGAGTCTGCGTTTTCACAAGATCCTCAGGGATTCTCATGCATCCTGAAGACGGGGAACAGGCCTTTAACTGGCGTCCGTATGGATGGGCCACATAAAACTGTGTTTCTTAATCTTGAAAACGCTGATGGAAGCTCTATTTATTGTGACGCTTTTGTGTCTATTTTCCTGTTGTAAAAAAACATTTAGCACAAAGGAACATATGTTAACACCAAACTCTCCATCTGGAAAATATAGACTGAGCATTTTAAAATCGTGAATTGTTTGCCACTGGTCTTATGGTATATTTAGGCCCACCGGAAACCTGCATATACATGCAGTGGCATTTTTGGATTTATAATGTCATTGTCTAATGGGGATTATATCACTTTAATTTGTGAGTAACGCAGGCCAGTCTTGAAAACCATACTTTACCTTTGTTTTCTTGCAACAGCGGTTTTATATAGGCCTCTGGGTAAAGTACATACTGTTTGGCTGACCTAAACTATATCAAGAAAACCAAAGGATGAAAAAAATCTAAATAAAATTTAAACTCAGTCAGTTTTTAGGGATACCTCGGAAAACTCCAAGGTTAGGGATTTTTTATTTATTTTTCGGTTGTTTTTTAAACTAAGACGAGGATGTGGATTAATAAAATATTGTTGAGCATGTAAAATATGTAGTTAATGGTTTAAGTATAATTATATCATGAAGTCATGGATTTCTGACTTATTTGTAAACATCATTTATTAACAAAATAGATGTTGAGCATTGGCCATATGCAAATTTTGTTACAAGGTCTCTTGAGGAATACGAAATAAAGACATTTTGCTTTCATGAGCTTCCTGTGAATAGAGGGAATGAATGTGTTTATGGCTCATCATTACCTATTAACCAAGAAATCTGTGTGAGCAACGCAGCAACAAAGTCATGCAGAAGTAGGAGAGCTGAATTCTGGTCAGGATCCGTGGGCAGAGCCTCATCACTGGAGTATCACCAAAGGGAGTAATTAACCAGAGACTCGGCCTGCTGTCCATTCCGTCCTTACCTTCCTGAGCCTACACCTTACAAACCCTACATGTTCCATCACCCAGGACGGATAAAGCGGGAGCCTCTGGATTAGGGGCAAAACTCTTCCACTCATGGGAAATAGGAGAAGGGAGTCGGCAGACATGGGCTGCGACCCCCTGACAGACGCGTCCCTTCACACTGTGGCATAATGTGGCCCGGTATGCTTTGAAGGCCTCACATGGCGGTGGTCTTGACATGTCTTTCAGTGGACACTGATTTTTATCACCAATCCATAACAAACTATTTTGCCGACAGAAGGAAAAGGAGAGAGGGGGCAGGGGAGAGGAGGCTGGTAGCTGATAACAGTCTGCATTTAGAAAGGGCTTAGAAAGATCGATATAAGCATTCTTCAGGGACCTCAGCCGGCTGCCAGCTCATTGCCTCGGGGTTTTCACGTGCACACAGTGGGGGACTGAAATCAGACGTGGTGCTCCGAGATCCTAGTTATTAAAGAAAGCTCACACAGACACAAAACAAACTTGTAATGCTCCATGTTTATATCAATTTATACACGTATAAACAATTGTCAAAGCTCATGGAACTGTATATCTTAGATCTGTGCGTTTTACCTCATATAGATTATATCTCAATAAAAATAAATTAATTAATTAAATGACTTAGCTGGGGAGGGGTGATGAGGGGAAGAAACACTATGGCCTGTCATTGATAGTTGTTAAAACTGAATGAAGGTGAGTACATGGGGGTCCCTTTACCATTCTTTCTTTAAAAGAAAAATTTAAGGAAGTATTTATTTTAAAGTTAGAAGACTGGTTTACCTTTACAGGGGAGGGAGGTGGAAGTACTCAGAAGGAGCAGAGGAGAGCTGGCAGGGTCTGTTTCTTTACGGTGGCGGCGGGGAGGGAGGGTGCCTTACATAGGTGTTTGCCTTGTGATAAATCACTGACCTATCCATATATCATTGTTTTCTGTAGGTATGCTACATTTCACAATAAAAGGTTTTCAAACTGCTGTACCACAAAATATACCATAAAATACACATATAAAAAAACATGCATATGAATTAATTAAAGGATTATATATCACAAGCATTCCTAGGTGTCGTTTTGTGCACAAATTAGAGTACACAAGAAAGAGAGGAACACAAATCCCACTCCCCACTCCAGCCTTCTGCCCTCTGATTGTCTCTAAGAGAACAAGAGATGCTCAACAGTTACCCAGAGGGAGAGAGAGCTTAATAAAAATATTCTGCATCTTGTGATGTTTCCTAGCCTGGGCCCCTCTATTCACAGTTTCCATCTCCTTCCTTGGGAATAGGAGCCAACAAGCACTCTCTCACTTGAGTTTAAACAAACCCAGCATGCCCCAGAGACTTTGCACTTGCTGCGGCCTTTGCCTGAGACTTGGCTCCACTGAAACATGGATGGCTTACTTCCTCACTTGCTTCAGGATCTCACTGCACAGGGGCAGGGATTTTGGTCAGTTTTGTTCAGGGCACCTACAAGAGTGCCTGGTACATAATTGGTTCTCACTAAATGTTTGCTGAATTAATTGAATAACTAAAAGGGGAGAGGTGGGAGTAGAAAATGAAATTAAAAAGTCAGTCTTTCACATAATAATTTCATTTTTTACCAATAGCCTTGTGGTTAAAGAATCTATTTTATCTTATTCCATAATACTTTTTAATGTTTATTTGGTAACTGCTGCAGGTGGAATACATAGTGAATTTATGAGTCGTGGAGCCCAACCTGGGATCCTTGTGTGTACCACGGATTTGATCAGAACTTGTGTTCTGAATTCCAAACACCACCATGTGAACCAGCCCTTGAAATATGACCTCTTGCTGTGTTAGACTATACCTCAAGTCACCCCCAGGTCGAGCTGTGTATTCTATGGACACTCCCCAGATTTCTATTACTGCAATCATTACACCGGTTGAAGGACATATTTTGAAGCTGATATCCTGCTGTTGTTATGAAGAGAATTGATTCTAATTGCCAGTTTCCTGCATTTTTCTTAAACATTTAGCCCTTGCAAAGAAAAAAACACTCGCGATGAAAATTCCACACGTTACTAGGATTACTTCATAAACAGAACATTCTTGACTTTGGAATTCCCCCCAGACTCTGAATTGAGCTTACCCATACAGAAAAACCTGAATTCATTTTGAAATGGGAGGAAAGCAGGGCAAAATGTTATCTTTGAGCTATGACATTTGGCTTCCAGTGGACACACAAAATGGACACACATCAAATGTCAAAAAGGCTGATAACGGACAGGAAGTACCGCTGTCGGCACAGCAAGCTTGACCTTGGCTGGCAACAAAACCCTGGATGGAACGCAACTGCTCCAACCTCGACTCACCCAGGGTGTGAGCAAAGCTGGGCCTGTAGGTGAGGACACCAGATCACGGTGCTTGAGGATCTCAGGACATCTCACAGACAACCAGACTGAAGTCTGGCCAACAGGGAGGGCCCAGCGTATTTATCCATTGTTGCGAGATGAGCAAGGCAGAAAAATAGGCCCTAGTTCCAAGTCTTCCTTGGCTGCGTTATCAGGAAAACAGGACAATATAATACAGAAATAAAACACAGAGACTTCCTCTTTGCCATCGTGTTGAATCTGTCCTGGCATAGATTTGCACTGACATCAGCTCCCAGTGGGTCCAATATGAAATTTATCTTCATAGAAATGTGACCTCTGGCTGCCAGTAGACTAAAAAACATAGCCAACAAAGGGGCAAATAAAGATAAAGAAGTGTGTGCAGGACAAGTGTTGCATTTCCTATACACAGCTTCCTAATTCCCCTGTCCCAGGAATGAATAGAAAATAAATCGGTGCGGGTGGCCATCAGGAACCTAGATTGTGTTATCTCACTCTGCCCACAATGATAAAGTAGATAATCTTCTTGCACACATTGGAACAGGAAGACTGATATTGCCACGAATAAATTACATGCAGTACGTACAAGGTGGGTAAGGAGACATTCTCATAAAATGTTCTATTCAACTCACTAGGTTTTGTGCACTGAAGACCTTATTCTGTTTTCACACGCAGGGTTCAGGAAATGATTGTGTGCGCCCACGTATGTGTGTGCATGTGTGTGAATGATTTAAGATTTTTCAAGCATCAGACTTACTGTTTTGCTTAGCCATTCTTTTTAAACACAAGTTAGATTTTAATTAAATCACATATGTTTTGGACTCAACAAGTATGTGTATTTTCCTTTGAGTATCTTTGGGTTATGGTTTAATAACATTGGTCTTATTTTGCCTTGGTGCATGTTTTGGCTTTTCCTATTAATGTATTGCATTTATACAGCTGTTTTCAAAGCAGCTGTGAAATATTTTTAAAATTTCTTCCCAAGGGGAAGAAACTTAGTATAAGCAATATAGAAAAAGAAAAAAAAAAAAAAAAAAAGAAAAAGACAAACATTCTTCTATGGAGTTCTGTCAATGTATTTCAGATATACCAGGAAATCAGCTAAGCTAAGCAAACACAGACATTTTATGTGGCAAGAACAAAGTAATAGCCTTTTTACTTCAATAAATCACCGTCAGAATTGTCCTAAAGCAATTTGATTGGAGGAATAGACTTTGGGGAAATCCTCCTTCCCAAAATATCCACCTTATCTGGCTTTTCCCGATAGCTGAAATTCCACTGTTTGAGAGCGCTGCTATAAAGCCAAGGGGTACAAATATCTCTGTGAAAGGAGGAGCCACTGAAATATTTACACTTCAGTGTGAGGTGTTTAATCAAATGTGATAACTAACTGGGATGTGTTTTTCTTGTGAAGCCACTGATTTACAAGAGGGAAAGGGTGTCAAGATAGTGTTGGGAGGGCCTGACAGTGAAGGTAGGAAGGTGTTAAAGACGAAAGTCAACATCCCCCTAGTATGTTGTGGGCTGTATGTTTTAGTCCATGGGTCTGTGCAGTTAAACGTCTGTCTGAGATTCTCAGAGTGGAAGTTGGGTATAAAAGAATCACGGGTTGTGGCAGCTTTTCCCAATTACCTAAGCTTCCTCTTCACCCCAGAATTTCTGAAGTCAAACCCTGTTTAGTTATTAGAAAGATGTTCCTGATGGATTTGCTCTGTGCATATGAGCAAGGAGGAAGCAGAAGAAAATGTGAGAATCACTGTTCAAGCTTATCCATTTGTCTGTCATTAAAATAATTTAAGCCCCAATGGAACATGGCTCCCTTGGAGCTGGCAAAGTGTTCCCTAGCTTGGTACCTCTAAGAGGAAAGAAAGGGGTATTGCAGTAGTGATTTTTAGTGGTACATTTGCCTCTTCCATGGGCAACTTCCCCCGTTTCCAGTCTACCTGTCCCCTTCTCCCACCGCATACATTCTACCCTATGGCCAAGGAGAAGGCAGGGTTGCCTTGCGCACAGGGGCGACACTGGGTCTTGTCTCAGAGAAGGGCAGCGCTGCAGTTTTGTGGTGGGTAGATCAGGTTTTGAGGATTCAGGAGCTATGGGCTTAGGGAAAGCGGTTTGGCCTCCTTGGGTCTCTAGGAATCTATCTGTAAGGGGAGATTTCCATATACCTCATAATTTCAGCCAATCACATGTTAACTTCACGATTTTACTATGTCTATGAACCACATGTATTCACTTACATATTTTTAACTACATTTCTTTCACTTTTTTGACTCTGAAATAAAAACAAAGCTCACCTCATATCCACTTCTTCCTTCAAAGTGCTTACCACAGTTTTGATTATATTTTTTTGTGTGCCTGGCATATTGGACATGATAAAGAAAAATTGCTCAATTTTACTTGTTCAAGTGTTGTCAAAGAATAATTATTTTGTTTTGTTTTTCAAAAATTTAAAACGTGGCTCACCTACCAATACAGAATGAACACGTGTTAAAGATTTCAAATTCATTATGAATGAAGGGATCAGGATCACGGATTCCTAGTTCCAAACTAGTTCCAAAGAGAATAGATAATCAGAGGTTATTACAGGCATTTGATAAAGATGGACTAAGATGTCTAGGTTAGATACAAAAGAGGTTAATATCCCACAGGGCCCAGACAATCAGCCCAAGGTTCCATGGTGTAGTGGTTATCACATCTGCTTTACACGCAGAAGATCCTGGGCTCGATTCCCAGTGGAACCACAAAGTTGCTTTTATTTTCATTCAAACAATCACCTTAGGGATTATCTTTTCTACTAGACAGAAGACTGTTGCATCTCTATTGGATGAAAATCAACATTGTCTATCTTTGCTACTAGATGGTGAATCTAATGGGAGCAAAGATCATGTCCTTTATTTTGCTCAAATTAATTAATCTTACAAAGAAACGTTGTCATATCCATAAATGGGGAACCAGTATTACTTTCCATCAAGCAGGGTAACACCCTGAAGTTAGCACAACAGGACAGTGATGTGTTCAACAGAAAGATGCGAGCAAAGCATAAAGGTTTCTTTAGTGTTGGTGAAGCGTACAGTTTCCTAGCCACAGCTCTGCAGAGGAGGCGCCGAGAGCCTCCCTCATGGAAGGACGCACTTTCCTGGCCTTCACGTGCACATCATTGATAATCTCTACTTTCTGAGACACCGGCTAAAGCCAAGGTCCTTTTCCCAGTTGGACCATGCTCTTGTTAAGCTTAGGTTTTAGGTTTGCTTGAGGTCTATTCTGGCAGTCAACATAAAACCATTACAATGAAGATTACTGTCTGCCAAAGGCTCTCAATCTGGAGCTTGCTCTCTGTTAAAAACAGAGATTAGCGAGTGTTAGAGAGGTGTTGAAGACATCTTAGCACCACACAGAGACTTTCCTCATGACGTTAGCAGAGCGACTGACAAAGAATAAAAAGGGATTAACCACCTCACTAAGTGACTCTAATTTTTTTAATAGCACGTTTGTTCTACATCCTGAGAAACACTGGGCTAGAGATCATGTCTAATACTCTCTCATGCTCTAACATTCTTGTTATTATTATCTTAAGAATAGCATTCTAGGGCCCGGCCCGGTAGTGCAAGCGGTTAAGTGCGCGCACTCTGCTGCAGCGGCCCAGGGTTTGCGGGTTCAGATCCCGGGCGCGCACCAATGCACCACTTGGCAAGCCATGCTGTGGCGGTGTCCCATATAAAGTGGAGGAAGATGGGCACAGATGTTAGCCCAGGGCCAGTCTTCCTCAGCAAAAAAAAAAAAAAAGAGGAGGATTGGCAGATGTTAGCACAGGGCTGATCTTCCTCACACACACACACAAAAAAGAATAGCATTCTAGAAGTGAAAGAGAATTCAGTGAGCTTCTAATCTAAGACTTTGGAGAAAAGGTTCAGATATGTGACATAAGGACAGAGATTAGAATTCATGACTCCTAACTATAGTCCAATGGTCCTGCCAGTCTAACTATGGCTTCTCTTAACCAACTTAAGGGTAGCTTTATTTCTTTTCCATTATGTTTTATTTCTGGGTTGATGGGTCTAGTCAGAGTGAGATCGGTTGTGGTAACTGGACTGGATGACATCTGAGAATGCTGGGAGGAATCCCAGTAGGCTGCATCAAAAGCATTCCCACCTCCATCCCTTACTATCTGTGTAATCTCGGATAAATTATTTAACCTCTTTGAACTTCATTTTACTCATCTGTAAAATGGGGACAGTATTCAGGCTTCTCTCACTGCGTTATTGTAAAAATTAAATGAGTAAACAAAAGGCACTAAAAGACTGCCTGGCACACCATCAGCACTGCATACATGCAAGATGCTGTTGTCACTGGCCTGCCTGTGTCTCAGAGGGTTCCATTTCTCCTTCCATTCTCAGCCTACAGCTATTGTTGTTGGTTTTAGAGCTAGCATTCGTACAGTACACCAGACTGGCTTCTTCTCCCCATGTTGGCAGAGGAGCCTAGCAGAGAGAAAAATCTCCAGCTTGCTTGCAGAACAAAAATCCAAATTGATTGTGTTTTTTTAAAGGAAAAGATGACTATTTAAGCAAAGAATCCCAACCAGCATGTGTCTGTGTAGGACAAAGTGACAGCAAATGAGCAAGAACTGGGGAGCGTAGTAGACGCGGAGAGACTGGCTGAAGGCAGTGCAAGCTAGTGAAAGAGGCACGAAGATGGAAAAAGAGATTTTAGCTGAATCAAAAAATAAAGGGAATTTAAAAGTTGTCTTGGGATAAAAAAATCTTTGAGGATCACTAATGCATGACTGTAAGACATCCTC